CTTTTAATATTTTTGTGTGCAACAGCTCAGACAGCTGACATTTACCTCCACCTCCTATTTTTCATTATCTTAGCAAAAACCCGTTCAACCTAGGTGGAGTCGTTCTTGCAGAAGAGCTTCATTTGTCTCTGACTGGAACAAGCCATTCTTTTCTGCTTCACTCATGCTAATGGTATAATTGGACAGCCGCATTGAAATGAATTTATTCATGTGAATAAGTCCGCTGTTTTCCAGCAGAGAAAGCTGATAAGGAAGAATTATCAGAAAGCAGGAGAGATTTTTGGTCTAAATTTACTAGTAAATATGAAATAAAAAAGAACCTAATCATGAATGTGGTTTTCTAACTACTTTACACAAAAAAAAATTATTTTAATTGACTTATTCGATCATAATTATTATTTTTTTTTTAGATGTCTTCTGTTTTACACAGTTATCTGAGTTTTGCATATGTTTGTGGGAGCAGTAATTGTTCCCCAAAGAGAAAGCTGTAAGTGGTTCTTAAGCATTTTTAATGCCATTTTCTGTCTCCAGGGAACAACTTTGAAGACAGAGAGACTTTCCAGACCTTATACATCCTCCTGAGCGCCAGCGCTAGCTTCCACACTAAACTGCTGCACAAGTTTCTCAAATAAAGCTGCACAGAGGGCAACAAATAAAAACAACTATGAATAATGGAGGGTTGTCCAGTGAAAGAATGAAAGACACCAATGCACCTTTTGCAGTAGTTATACAAATAAAATGCCTTCAAACAAACCAATCCAAACCCCTGTATGCTGTTTGAAATGCTTTTGTTAAACAGTGTAGTTATTTCTAAAGCTGTCTGTTGAAATTTAGAAATGTAGTTCTAAACTCTGTTGAATGTTACATGATATGAATATTGTATATTTATTTATAAATTGTAAAATATTTAATTTAATTTATTTATTTATATATTCTTGTAATAAATGTGGTTTATACTGTTTTCTAATTATTCTCTTTCTTTGTCTGCTTTATTATTTTATAACAAACCAACAAACACTGAGCAGATGAGCTTTTATTAATTTCCAGTTTGTGCATCATTCAGCATCAACAGCAGCTTCAAACAAGGTAATTCAGTGACTTACATTAGTAAAATGTGTTAGAAAATAAAAAAAATTGAAAAAAGCTACAACAGATTAAAAAAAAATATTCAGAAAATAACCCAGACAGTGATTCAGATTGCATGCACATTGTTTGTAAATACATAACGGGTATCTATGCAGGGATGCTTCAAATAATCAGCGGTCCAATTTAGATAACTTCTTTTATTGGTAAATAGATCAGTAAAAGTTCAGCTCAATATCAATGCTTGACTTTTTGACATTGAAGTTTAAGGCTTACAACATCAAGAGACATGAATAAAAAGCAAGTCGGATCCAGTTTTCTTGTCCCCCGTCTTCTGGTCATGCATGGTCACTCATTTGTTCATTGTTTTGATATGATCTGCAGGAAACAGGAACAGATTACTGCAGGGTCTGGTTGTACTTTAGCCTTTAATGATCTACTGAAAGAGTAGATTCACAAAGCTGAGCTGCTTCATGAATCATGAAGCTGAAAGACGAATATTTGAGTTTACAGAAGATTCTAAGGTAAAAAAGAAGCATGGGTACAATTATGGATGTTCTGCTACGACTTTGCATTTTCAACACAACACTGACATTGCAGCTACGACCATCGGCGACAGTTATTGTCCTGATATGATAAAAGTACAAATCATATACTTTTATCATGTGTTTTGTAGTGTAGCATATTAAAAAAAGCATGCTCAAGTAACATTTCTCTAAGTAAACATTCAGCAATAACAGGTATGAGAACAACTGATCCATTTGTTACATGAATTTTAAACAGAAGTGGCTTAAGGCACAGTGTTTCTATCATTAATCTGAAATTTACGTAAAGGCTGATGCTTTTTTAAGGCTATGTTTTGGCTGATATTGGACTGATTTCTAATATCAGTACTGGATCAGGACATTCCGACACACAACACAAGGATAGACAAAACACAACTGAAAACTCCATGGTACTCCATTAACACCCCTTGAAGATATTTGAACTTGTCTAGGATAACAAATCAAAAACCGTGAAATGCATTTGTATTCCACATCCCTGTTGGTTCATACTTTTAAGAACCACCTTTGGTTGTACCTTCCACCTGGATCTGACCATGTTTCAGCTACAATAGCTTAAAAAAAACAAGGAAAAGAAAGAGTCTTAACAAAAATGCTCAGTCTTGCTGATCTGGATCTCTGGCATCAGTTTGCAGGTCTTCTAAGATCGGCTGTGTACAGCATTATCTCGTATGATATTTTTAAGTCTATAGGACCATTTGCAATGTGCGTACTGTATCCTGTGAAAAAAAATCACTTTGCATCTCGGGCCTCTTGAATGCCTCTCTGACCAGAACTTTTTACAAAAGTACAAAAGGCTTAGATAGCTCAGATAGAGGGCTTTATCAGGAGAGCTTTCAATGCTGCCATACTCTTGAAGTTTTGCGGTCTAAATAGCGATGTGGAAGAAGTCCAGACTACAACCTGTCTGATGATTCTTTGCTCTTGATGCAGTTCATTCACCAATGTACTCTTGCAAACCTCAGAGGCCTTCACAGAACATAAAAGCATACTGAGGTTTAATTACACGCAGGAGTCGTTTAATTAGGTGACTTCCAACAGACGTAAATATGCAGAATGTTCTATGAAGAGGCATTTGATTAAGTAGGGCTGAATACAAATGCAGTTTAGGCAATACTTTATTCACAAGTTTCAAAAGATATTTAACCTTCTCTTTGTTATTTGGATAGACTGCCAAGTAAATTCATAGGGGTATGAATACTTATTTAAGGTGCGGTATATATATATATATATATATATATATATATATATATATATATATGGGGTGCCACAGGCTAACGGAAACCACGAGGAGATGGCAAGAAAGACTGCCACAGCTAAATACCTACAAAGAGTAAGGCAAGTCCTGAAAAGTCAGCTGAATGGGAAAAACAAGATCCAAGCCATCAACACATATGCCCTACCAGTCATCAGATACCCCGCTGGTATAATAAACTGGCCAAAGGAGGTGATAGAGGCTACTTCTTCTATTTGTCTGTGGT